CGACTCGTTGTAGAGTTATTTTATTCTTTCTCGTAAAGTGTACAAAAAAGTATGGCACTAGATGAAGAAAAAGGTTGCACAAGGAGTTTCAAAGCAGTATTTTGTAGTGAAGGTGCATATTAATCATGAAGTATCGGATACATATCAAAAATCATTAAAAAAAATATAAAATAATTAAAAAATATGTATAGGATGCATATCGGATACGTAAAAAATATAAAAATAATTAAAAAATAAGTATCCAGTACGTATCGAAGGGTATTGGAGAGTATCAACGTATAGGATACGGATACGTAACAAGTTTACAAATATCGGTGCTTCTTAGGTTATGGACTTGAAAGTTAGGCAATCTCGGATGAAAGACTATACAGTGAAACTTTTAACCTATTTATGACATATATTCACATTAAACAGAACTGTATACACCAAGCAAGAATATATCTACAAAGAAAAAAAATCACCAAAAAACTTCAATGTCATCAAACTTGTAACCATACAATTAGTTTATGCATGAGACTGCATCCAAGGACACCGCCGAATCTAAGGTACCTAGGAAAATGAAAAAGAAAAATAAAAGAGAAGTCACTACTCATGTTTGATTAAAATAAAATCCCGTTTATATCCGCAAATTCTCATTTTATTTCCACGATATTCTACTCTCTAGTCCCTCACAAAGTTTTAAGATCTTGCAATCTCGCTCTCTTAATTCTATGAGTTATTTGTTCCATTGGTTTTTGTTAAATTGTTTTAGTACATATTGTTTAAATTTGTCACCTTTGCATTCACATTACAAATTCTCTCTCATTAACTAATAAAATGGATCCAAGATTGTCTACTATCTGGAATTTTTTGATTTTGAGGAGTTCAATTTATCTGATAATTCTAATATTTTAGAGTACTTTTAGTTGGAAAAACCATGGCAACAATGGTCATTTGAAGAACAACAGTAATAAGCGTTAAATCGAGCACATCCATCCACATGCTGCACGAGCTAAACTTTCATCTGGTAAGCCTATCTCTTAGTCTCCAAGATTTATAATATTAATACATTTTAATCATTTGATCTCCTAAAGTTTTTCGCATAAATTTCAGGTGTCTAAGATATTTCTATTGATAAAATTGCTAAAAAAAATTCAGAATCCATGCCGCCACTGATAAATAGTTTTCACTCTCCACAAATTGTTTAACTATAAGAGGTTTGACCGTAGATGAAGAGGATTGAAATAAATTACACAAAAAAATGTAAAAAATTTAATTCACATCATCAAAGTACCTTCAAAGCTATATCCAAACAGGCTTGACGATTGAGTGGTTGGCCCAAAATCAAGCTCCAAATTACGCCAAGGCCCTGAGTGACACGGTCACCATCACGACCATCTACTCCGGAATAACTTCCAGAGCATAAATCATCCAGCAGCCTCAATACAGACTCAGGTAAATAAGGAGCTTCTCCAAGAAGTCGACTAAATGACTTATCAGTTGCTGGGAAAGCATCTAACAAAGATTTTGCCTACAATGGAGAAGTCAGCATTCAAAACTTTGCACTTACATGTAACATGTCTAATGAAAAAATACCTACCACTCCCAGAAGGAAGTTTTCGTATACAGAAGCAGCAGATGAAGAGTTCTGAGACAATTCTGACAACATGAGTGTGTGTAGATGATAAAGAACATGAATCACAAGCTCGTGTCCCTGAGAAAAAATTAAATGAGAACAATAAAGTATAAATATTATATGAAGAACAATTAATAAGGGAAATACTGAGAGAGTTTGATAATTCTTGGAAAAGGATAGAATACAGTAGGTAGAGAAAATCAAAGCTGCTCCTGACAATGCAATGAATATCAACCAAAAAAAAGAAAAAAAGAAAGGAGTGATGAGATTTTAAATTCAAAAGAGACGTGTTTCTATCTTTAAATTTGTTAGTGTCTTTGGTCCTATGGGCATAACTACAAGCATGCCTATGTCACTATACTACATGGCTCACTTATAGGAGTCATAACAGATAAGGTGCTCACAAGATGCTCTTAGCTTTCAATTGTACATTTGTGTATATCACTTGCACCACCTTGACATTGTAATGACACGAAAACAAAAACCTCGTAAAAGAATTCAAGAGTAGTACCAAACTTTAAGGGGGGAAAAAGACAAACTAAAACTAATATTTCACACAACATTATTATTTCACATAATTCCCCGTTTTCAGTAGAAAAGCAATGTTATGATAAAATCAGCACAGAAAAGAGATGGTTCCGGATAATCAAGAAGACTGGGGTGGCGTATGGACCAACAGAAGAGAATTCAAGGCCAAAAAGCAACAACCGGATCTCGCACATCAGACAACTTGATATTACATCTTAGCGAGCCACTGAAGTCAGTTTCAGCATCTTTACAATGGAGCACACCCAATGTACTAACTTCAGTCAATGATTGGTGCTTTCAGAAAAAAGGTTCAAAAAAATTGACAAGAGCATCAACAAGAACAAAATCTCTTAAAAGGTTGTCAGCATAAAACCTTAGCTAAAAAATAAACTCAAACAAAGCTATTCAATGTCTGAATCGTAACATACAGATTAATAACTGCCATCAGCCGAGTCAGAGTAACTATAAAATCAAAATTTTCATAATCACAAGAATCTGAAATGTTGAGGTGGCATCTAAAATTTCTCTTCCACTGTGCCAACTCACAACCCAAAGCCCGATCAAAAAAA